TGGATATAGCTGCTTTGGAAAACAGTTTGGCTATTCCTCAAAGAATTAAACGTAGAATTACTGTATGATCCAGCCATTTCACTCATAGGTAGATCCCCAAGAGAACTGAAAGCACTCATTCACAGATGTTCGGAGCCGCATTATTACAAAAACAAAAAAAAATGAAAACAACCCCAAATATCTATCTAATGATGAATGGATAAAAATGTGGTATTACCTATACAATGGAAAATTATTCAGTTATAGAAAAGAGTGAAGTACTAATACATGCTAAAACATGGATGAACCATGTTTTATGCCAAGTATAAGAAGGCAGGTAGCTCTGATTGGTGTAGCTCAGTGGATTGAGCACGGGCCTGCAAACTGAAAGAAGCCAGGTAGATAATGCCACATATTGTATGGTTCCATTTATATGAAATGCCCAGAAGAGGCAAATCCATAGAGACAGAAAATAGCTTAGGGGTTACTACCAACTGGGAGATGGGGGTGAGAAATGTCCAGTGACTGCCAATGAATACAAGGTTTCTTTCTGGGGTGATGAAAATGTTCTGGAATTAGGTAGTTGTGATGGTTGTACAACTTTGTGAACATACTAGTTGTATACTTTAAAGGCTGAATTTTGTGATATATAAATTAAATCTCAATGAGAAAACTGAAATGACACCCTGGCTGGTGTGCCTCAGTGGACTGAGCCTTGGCTTACGAATTGAAAGGTCACTGGATTGATTCCCAGTCAGGGCACATGCCTGGATTGCTGGGCAGGTCCCCAGTTGAGGGAGTGCTAGAGGCAATCCATTGATGTTTCTCTCATACATTGATGTTTCTCTCACACATTGATGTTTTTCTCCCTTTCTCCCTCCTTTCTCTCCAATAATAAATAAATAAAATCCAAAATAATTTTTTAAAAAAGATAACATACTATATGATTTCACTTAATAAAGTTAAAAAAAATAGGCAAAACTAATCCATGGAAACACAAGTCAGGAAAATGGTTGCTCTTCCAGCTTAAGGTAAAGAGGGAGTGGAGCACATGAGTACCTCCTAGGGCTCTGACCATTGATTTGGGTGCTGGTTTCACACATGTGCTCATTTTATAGCATGTTATCGAGCTGGGCACCTATGATTTGGGTACTTTGAAGGAGGTTAAACTTTAATAAGATGAGCAAGACTGTTAGATACAAAACAATCTTACAAAAATCAATAATTTCTCTAAGACATCTGCAACTAATTTTAAAAGAAAACGGAAAATAAGAGCATTCACAATAGTAACAAAACTATAAAGTATTAGGCAGTACCTAATAGAGAATGCATGTTCTCTAAAGATCTTTGGAACTTCATTGTACATTGCAGAGACAGCCAGTTCTCGCAAACTGATCTATAAACTCTTTACAACCCCAACCAAAATTGCAGCTGAATGTTTTGAGGAATGAGAAAAATTCACTTTAAAGCTTACAAGGAAAAAATCAAGGTCCCCTGGGCCAATTTTAAAGAGGAGGGGATTTATGTGCACCACACCTAAGGTTTCCTTTGAAGGCCTGGTGTTAAGAATCCACATGCATAGGCACAAAGATGGCCAACACATCAATGGCGCAGAAGAGAAGCTGAGGGGCACAGTAGGCAGAGGGACTTGCCATGTGATAAGGGGGCTCCATAAAGCAGTGGGGATGAGTGAACTGTTTAGTTGACAATGACTGGGAAACAAGAAAAATGAAACTGGCTAAGGCCACCACTTTCACCTTAATCCAGAAAGATGATAGATTTTAAGTAGAGAGTAAAATGATAAAATAGCTAACAGAAAAAAACATTGGAGACTATCTTAGTGACTTAGGTGTGAGTATAGCCTCTATAAACAAGACCCCCAAAGCACAAAACTATAAGGGGGGAAATGTAATCACATGAAAATTAAGAGTTTAAATAAAGTGTCCCAGGTTCGATTCCCAGCCAGGGTACATTCCTGGGTTGCAGGCCATAACCCCCAGCAACCGCACATTGATGTTTCTCTCTCTCCCTCTCTCCCTCTCTCCCTCTCTCCCTCTCTCTCTCTCTCTCTCTCTCTCTCTCTCTCCCCCCTCCCTAAAAATGAATAAATAAAATCTTAAAAAAAAAAAAGATTTCTGTTCCTCAAAGGACATTATAGACAAAGTTAGCACCTAACAGACAAAGATAATCCCTTCTTTGGTCTAAAACTGATAGACTGATTTCTACACTATACCAGGAACTGCACCAAATCAAGATAAAAACCTCCAATTTTAAAAAATGGGACTGAAAAAACAACCCTGGAGGAAATGAGTAGGCGGTTTGCAGAAGAGGAAGCCAAATAACAAACAGGTATATGAGGAAATGCCCAAACCTATGAGGAAATCAATAACATGCAAATACAAACAATAATGAGATACCCCTTTCACAACTTCAGAATAGCAAATACTAGAATGGTGGATACCCATTGAGGGCAAAGCTATAGGAGATAGAAACAGCTTTTCTGGAAAGCAATCAGATAAAACTCTTAGGCTCAGTGATCCCTCTCCATTACAGACTCAGAAATTCCAGCAATGCTCCAAGAGGGGACGTACAAGATATTCACCCTGACGAAATTTGTGGAGGCAGGAGTTGGAGGCAAAGAGGTGTCCATGAGAGACAATGGGTATGAGCTGGATGCTTATCATCGAAAGACAAGCAGCTCTGAACCACAAGCACTTGCCAGACATGGTGAGATCTTTTTAAAAAATGGCATTGATGTGACCATGTCCTTCAAACTAGATGTGTGTTCACTGCGTGTTATATAATTTGTGGTTCCTTTACTCGACATGCCTAGTTCAACTTTTTCCTCCAATTGATCACATCCTGGAATCCAATATTGCATGTCTAGTGCATAACTATTCTAAAGGATCTTATTTTGTGTACTTATGTATCAGAATAGTGTACACTGACATATAATGTAAAAAGTCTATATGTCAACAACGTAGCCAACTATCCAAGTGTCATACCAACTAAAACACCAAATAAACCTTAACAGTGAAAAAAAGGTGTTGAGTGAAAAAAGATATGTAGTATAATAATCATTTATATAAACTTAAAACACACACAAAACAACATGCTTTACAAGAAAACAAACATATTAAAATGTCACTTCCTTGCACTCACACTAACCCAGACCCCTCTCCTATTCCTTTCTGTTCCCTTACCTTGATTTCCTTGTCTTTTAAAAAAAAATTTTTTAATGATTTTATTTACTTTTTTAGAAAGAGAGGAAGGGAGGGAAAAAGAGAGGGAGAGAAGCATCAATGTGCAAGAGAAACACCTACCCACTGCCTCTTGCACACCCCAAACCGGGGACCCAACCCACAGCCCAGGCATGTGCCTTGACTGGGAATCAAACCAGCAACCCTTTAGCTTGCAGGCCAATCAATGCTTGATCCACTGAGTCACACCAGTCACACCATTTTTCTTTATGGCACTAGAATGTCTACTCCATGAGAACAGTACCTTCCTGTCTTGATCACTGTTATATCTCCAGCTCCTAGAACAGAGCCTGGGACATTGTAGATGGTTGATAAGTATTTGTACCTGAATAAATGAATAAATGGTAGACATAGAGCCAATAGACAGCAGGGCCTACGAGGAGGGGAAAAGGGCAAGGATGAGTAGCGGGAAATCAACCAATCAAAGAAGGGACATATAATAGTGTGTCATGAATGATCCATAAAAATAATTACAATTATTTTATCAAATTCATTACTGTGGAAATTAGACCCTGCATGATAAGGCTGTCACCTGGCTGTCCGGCTTCCTCTGATTTTACTCTCTCTGCCCACTATGTTGTAGCCAACCAGACCTCCCTCTGCCAGTTCCTAGAATGCCCTCACTGTCTCTGTGTCTTTGCACAAGCTGTACCCTTTGCCTATATGCTTTTTCTCTAGTACTTTCTCTCATTCTTCAAGTTTCAGCTTAATATCACTTCCTCAGAGTGGGCTCCCCTAATCATCCTAGTTAGTGTTTTCCTTTCCTCCAAATTACTCTTATCACATCACCTGTTCTTTACCTTTTCAAGCTCTGTGATTATTTTGTTCACTGAACGTCTCTATCCATTAAATATAAGGTCCAAGATGGGGGCTCCATCTGCTTGGTCTTATCTCCAGCACCTGACACAGTGCCTGGCAGAGCGGGTACTCAAATAATTGCTGTGCGAATCAATGAAAGAATAGATCATAACGTTTCTGCGGAAAGGAGGGAGGGAGGAAGACTGGGAGAAAATGGGAGTCCTGAGGCGGTCAAAGAACAGGTGTGGGGACAGACAGGGCTGGAGGGAGAACAGGCTGCGGTCAAAGCCCTTGAAGTTCTTGTAACTGTTTCAGCATTAACATTTTGGGTGGTGGGATCATGGGCAAAAAGCTTCCTTTAGAATTCCAATATTGTTACAATACTGTCCACATAAAATGAAAATCAGGACAGAAGTGTTTCTATGGTAATGCACTAAGTCCTCACCCAGTGAAGGCATTATTATTCCCAAAATAACTAAAATCTAATGCTTTCTCTGTGGCAGGCACTGTCTAGCGCCTTTCATGTATCTACTCATTTAAATCCCAAAAAGACCTCTGAGAAAGATCCTCTTGTTGCCATTTTACTGATCGGGGCGAGGCACAGAGCGGTTAAGACTTGCTCACATTATGTTGGGCCATGATTCCAACCCTGCTCTAATTCCAAAGCCTGTACCTTCCCTCTCAACCACCTGAAGTTCAGGCGCAAACTAGACTGGCTGGAGGACGCTGTAACTAGTCGTTCTCGGTAACTTGCGTAAGCACACCTCACGTGACTCGCTAGGCTCCGGGACGCGCAGCGGTCGACTAGACTGCCAGTCGATACCCTCTCGCACCCGGGACCCACGTGACGGACCTTTCTTACCGTTTTACCACCGCAGTCTCGCGGGATTTACACTGACAGACCAAACTCGGTCCTCTGTGCTTCTGCGAGATGGGTTCTCGTCCCCGCTTCCTCCACCTTACCTCCCGGCAGCGACTAGCTTCTGGAGAAAAGTATCCACTGTGGTGTCGAGGAGTTTCAGTCTGGAAATGGTAGTGCTGTGGGGCACGGGTTCGGCAGACGACCCCTCAGGCCCTTTTTCCTCACAGCTGCCGCCTACACTGGCACTGTTTGCTTCGGCCATGTTGAGGTCGACCCGCCAAAACTAACTGGCCCGGCTGCCCCACCCACCGGGGCCTCCGATTGGCCGCCCCCGGCATGGCTGCTTCCGATTGGAAGCTGCGGAACGTCTCTCAGCGAGTCGCTGGAGGTTGACGGTTGACGGCAGATAAAAGCATTGCTGTAGCGCTCCAGAGTATTTCGTCCGCAAGCCGGCAAAATAAGCGCCAGCCAAAGCTCAGGGGCTTAATACAAACTTTTAATTACAATTCACAGACTTGGTACAGTGCAACAGTGAATGAGTGTTTGCAGTTAATATTCACAAGAGTCCACTTTATCAAATGTTACCGCATCTGTCTTTTCGTTCCTCAGTCCCTCAATACTCGCATCAGGTTTCCTGTCTCGCTCGGTCTCCCGAGTTTCTTCCAGTTTTGCCCACGGACCAGTACATTAGAACTGCTGTCTACGGTCCTGGGGAAACGGAAGCCCACTGTCCCATTCCCACCAAGTCATGGTTTAATTGAACCCAATTAGATGGGAAAGTAGGGGCCAGGGGTTCTTTCATTATATAAAAAAAATAAGCTCATCATCCTTTGAAACAAGAGAGGGAGAGAAAGAGAAAGGCTGAAAGGCTATGAAATACTGTACAAGAAAACAGAAGGAAAGGAGTCTGGAAAGGAGAAACATCCTAAGGCATGAGGGGCAGGAGACTAGTCCTGACTGTGACACTCCACCCACTTTGCCACAGTGGAGACAAGTCTCTAGGGAGGGGAAGGAGTGGAGCTGGAAAACAATCTCCAAAGGTGTCACTAGAATGAGTTTAAAGAGAGAGAAGGTGAGCTTCTATTATGTTGGGGGTTCTAAGGTAAAGGGGTGGCTGAGGGGCAGGAAAATTCAGAATGATCTGTGGCCCAACCCTTTGGATGACCATTTGTAGACAGAAATAGAACCCTTGACAAAGTACAAGAAAAGGCAAATAAAAATAAAGATAAGTTAAAGGGAAGATAACCCTCAAAGATAAAAGACCAGGATGGACAGTGGTGGTGGTGGTGAAGGTAGAAAAATGTGGTTTTCAGATTCTGATCTGAATCTGGCCAGGATGTCAGAGTGTGGGGCAGCCACAAGAAATAGAAAGGCTTCAGAAGGCAGCTAGCACCTTTCAAATTGGCACCATGGCCCTTCCCGGGGGGTGGGACCAATAAGAAGGTTTGAAGAATCATCCTGGCCAAATGTCTCATGTAGAAGTGCAGGGTTTGATACGATTTCTTCTCATCCCGTTTCCTGCATCTCTCTTCACCTGCAACACAGGCTAGGTAGACAAGGTGGGGAGGATGAGGCAGGGAAGCAGCGTTCATCATCTAGCTCCTGCGAGCATCAACAGTCTCGGCAGTATCAGGCTGGTACGCAGTGGTCCTGGTATTGGGTGATTTCCTGACCCACTCTTTACTCTCTTCCAAGCATCCCTCTAAAGGGCACCGTGACTGGCATGAGTTCACATTGGGGAGAAGAAAACGCAAACAGTTCCACATATCAGAGACTCCCATTATGAGACAACCACTGTTTCCACGAGTCCAAGTGATTGGGTATATATGCGTTATGTTATAATTGCTTGGGGCTGAAAACCTACAGTGCCCTCTCCTAGGCCTTGCCCAGCTGGTCTGGGGAGATGGGCTGGAGCACACACACCCTCTTGTTGTTTTCCAAACCTGACTTTTCAGGGTAGTGCTCCAAGTTCTGTGTGCCCCAGACAGCCCGATCTACTTAGAATTATGCCTACCACGAGTCATTTGGGTCAGAGGAAGACAACAGCTTATATGTCCTGGGGCTACAGAGACGGAAAGGACATGGAAGGAATGGGGAACTGAGATTGAGGGAAAAGCTACATTACACTTTTCCACCTGTCTGTGGGAGGGGTAAGCACTGACTGTGGGACTGTACTGGTGCTTTAGCAGGACAAAGACAGTACCTGGTTCACAGATGTTAAAAATTATAAACACACAAAATAAAGTATTAACATTTCTCCCCAACCTAGTAACTCCAAAGAGAGGATGAGTACTCTGAGGTTTTGTTGCTGTTTCTCCTCCCTGTGCAAAAGTGCCTGGCACCTTGCCCCCAGTGGCAGGAAAAAGCATAGTAGTCTGGTGGACAAATCAGTCCCAGAATAAAAATAAGCAAGCCTAAGAGATAAAGCAGGAAAGGGTTGGTGGCAGCTGCTTGGAATTTGGGCTGAAGGCCCAAGTAGAAGAACCAGTGATAGTAAGCAAGCTCTATGCACAGCTCTTACCAGGATCTCAGGGACAGAGATGGAAGAGAAAGCCAAAAGAAGGGTCAGCAGGGGTGGGGTGGAGTGGGACTAGCGGGGAGGGTGGGTTTCCTTAGGGCAGCATTGAGTACGAGGACTGAGTGAGGGAGCCCAGCTTGGCAAGAAAACTAAAAATAATCGGCGCAGGAGATGCAGGTGTGGAGCCTCTTCAGCGAGAGCACTTCAAAGTCTCTGCTCCTGTCCCAGACAGGGTACCCGGCCCAGGGCAGGGCTTAGGTATATGTCAGGGGCACTCGGAGAGGGTGCTACCCTCCCTGCTCTGCCCCGGACCCAGAGTAGTGTGGAAACAGCAGGCTTCTCTCCCACCACTGGTTACCAGTGTCTCGAGTCCACCAGCTCAGGTCGGAGGCTGAGTTTCTTGAGGCTCTCATAGCCCACCACAATGACAATGGTAGAAGGTGTGGCTGAGATGATTCTAGCTGAGAGGCCCTTCATGAGGCCCCAAGGCCCCTCTTCTGCCATCAGCTGTCTGAAGGTCAGGATGATGGAGTTCTTGCCCTCAACCTAGAAAAGTCAGTACAGTGGAGGGTCATGGTCTGCAGTCAAAGCTCTGCTCCTTCCCCCTCTGCCTTAGGGTGAATTTGAATTCTGCTCCCCAGTTTACTAACACATAACCTCAGGCAATTTACTTAACTCTTTGCACCTCCGTTTCCTTGGATGTAAAACAGTGATAATTGTTCCTATGCCATGTGGTTGTTCTGAGCAGTATACAAAAGAATACTAGTAAATGTTGAGAATGGGGCCTGGCAGACAGTAAGTGTTCAATAAACATTAGCCATTACTTAATATCACTAGATGAGCTACACAGCTATGAGTCTTTGGACTGGGTGCTTCTCTCTGGTCTCAGGGCGGCTGGATTAAATCACCTCTAAGGTCCTCTGCAACTCTGCCAGTCTGTGATTTTGACTCTCACCATCTCAATCCCTCTGAACCCCCTTGGCTAGAGTCCTCCCCTATGACTCTGGTGTCTCCTGGGCATCTATCTTCCCTATCACATTGGAAGCCTGGCTAAGGCAGGAATCTCTTTTCTTTCTCCACAGTCCTGTCCCCTTTCCCCCCGCCCCATACTCTGCCACCAAACCACACCTTTAGAGGCTGCCCACTCAGACCCTCAGCCAAGGCAGGACAGATACACTCCTTGTTATACACCCCCCTGCACTGTGACTTTCACAAGGTGATCTCACCCATGGCTAAGAACCTTTCCCTACTCGTCATGCCTCTCCCACACTCCTCTCACGAGTCCTCTCATCTAACCACCTCCGCTCCCCTAACCCTCACATTTATCCACGGCCATGCCGAGGGCTTTACAGCTATACCTCCGGCCCTCATATGCACTTCATGTCCTCCAGCCTGGGAGCACCTCACAGTAGAGACCTGTCCTTTCCCTGGATCTCCTTGTGAAACACCTAGGATAAGGCTCAGGAGAGAATAAAGATGGAACCTATGTACCTTATGATTTGCAAACCAATCAGATGCCAATTTACTGATTTTCAAATGTGTGTGGTGGGGAAAGGACATTCCTGAGACAAAAGTACCTAGATTTTCCCAGACAGGAAAAAGTTAAAGGAAATCATCACCACCAAACCAATATTACAAGAAATGTTAAAGGGACCTTTTTAAAAAGAAGGAAAAATAAGATAAAAAAATGTAAATAAAATGGCACTAACTACATACCTAATTACTTTAAAGGTAAATGGATTAAATGCTCCAATCAAAAGAGGTAGGGCGGCTAAATGGACAAGAAAACAAGACCCACACATATGCTACTTACAAGAGATCCATTTCAGATCAAAAGACACACAGACTGAAGGTGAAGGGATGGAAAAAGATACTTCGTGCAAATGGAAATGGGAAAAGAAGCTGAGGTAGCAACACTTACATCAGATAAAGTAGACTTTAAAATGAAGCTATAACAAGAGACAAAAAAGGACCCAGCAATTCCATTTCTGGGTATTTATTGGAAGGAACCCAAAACACTACTTCAAAAAGACATATGTATCCCTATGTTCATTGCAGCATTACTTACTATAACCAAAATATGGAAGCAATCTAAGATATGGAATCTAATATTCCATATACAATGGAATATTACTCAGACATAAAAAAGAATGGCCAAGAGGCTCAGTTAGTTGGAGTGTCATCCCATACACCAAAGGGTCGCAGGTTTAATCCCTGGTCAGGACATGTATGGGAGGCAACTGATCAATCTCTTTCTCTCTCTCTCAAATTAATAACTACACTGAAGATGAAAATAAAAAAAAGACCTGGCTGGCGTAGCTCAGTGGATTGAGTGCGGGCTGCGAACCAAAGCGTCGCAGGTTCAATTCCCAGTCAGGGCACATGCCTGGGTTGCAGGCCACGGCCCCAAGCAACCACACATTGATGTTTCTCTCTCTCTCCCCCTTCCCTCTCTAAAAATAAATAAATAAATAAATCTTAAAAAAAAAAAAAAGGAAAGAAAGAAAAACAGTGCCAGGGATGTAAGGTTTAGCACAGGGAATATAGTAATAACTATGAATGGTGTCAGATGGGTACTAGATTTATCAGGGTGATCATTTCATAATTTATATAAATGACTAATCATTATGTTGTACACCTGAAATTAATATAATATTGCATTTCAACTGTAACTGAAAAATAAAAAAATTATTTAAAAACAATACCTAGATTGACCCTGGCTGGGTAGCCCAATGGGTTAGAGCAGGGGTCCCCAGCTTC